TCAACTGTTGTGAAATGGCTTTTACGTGGTAGTGCTAGTCATCACTTCTCTATATGTTCATATTTTATAACGGATCTTGTATAGTATTAATTGTGAGTAGATCTCGAAGTATTAAGACAATACACACACTCACTCCTAAAACTTAATCTTCTTTTTATTTTTATTTTTAAATATTCTAAAAAATGATTTAGCCCGAGGTATAATCAATTATATAAAACTTAGCTAATTAAGAAAAAAACCACTTTCTAATTGATTATAACTATTGTCTTATCAATCATGGAGCAAATTTACCTAATAATCAATTAAAAAAAATTCTGATCGATTAGGCTATTGATTTGGAAAATTCTTTCGAAATTACTTGGTCATCATTGATTAAACCCATAATCGATTATGATGTGAATTCTACCCAAAATACTTCTTTTCATTGCCAATTTTTTTAATAATATAAAAAGGACTTTTTTTCACTTCAAGACACACGAGAAATAAAAAATATTAATCTCATCCCTTACTTTCACTCTCTTCTTAAAAACTTTTTATACATTTAAAATGGTGTATATGCATAACTCATTAATGTCAATGTTACACTATCTAATCTACAACATCTATTGGGTCAAATAAATCTCATCCTCAACCACTGCGAGATCAGAAGGGTGTTCGAGTATCATCGTTCTTCAATCAAAGATGATGAGCTGTAATCTTCCCAAATTTTGGAGGGCTATTAGGGTTTTTTGAAGGACTAGCATTTACGGCAACATCATAGATTGTAAGAATTAATACCAATTATTAATCATGCTTTGAAATATCTTCAATTATTAATGTATTTTTACTAAATTTGAAATATTTGTTTCAGATACCTTGTGTTAGAATAATAAGGCATGAGTTTGAAAAGATTACAATGAGTTAGGAAATAACTGATTTTATACTTAAAATTAAGCAATAAAATAGTTATTGAATAATCATGTTTTTAACAAACTTTATAGTTAGAAATGGATGGATTTATTGTTTTTTAAATCTTTGACATATATAGAGTTAAAACAAATTTTTGATTTAATTACTCTTTACTTTACCCGGTTTATCATTTACTTCCAACTTATATCAATTGATTATTTATTGAAATAAATTTTAAACGGTTTTTATATTGAACCATTTTTACTTTATATTTAATTCCTAAAACAATTCAAGTATAATGCCAATATTAGAGCCCAAGAGAAAGATCAATCACTAGGTGTAGTGCCACCCTAGTCAAAGACATAACATAGAGATAGAGAGATTCATAGGGCTTATTCATATCTTTGAGTCATGAATAAAAAACTCTTGAATTAATAATATTTATTTAAAAAATATAATCATAATTATTATTTTAATAGATAATAGAATTAAAATAGCAGAGTACAAAAAGTACTCTAACCTTTACACCAAACAACATAAAGAGACTACATCTTGATACAATTAAGAAGAGAAAGAAATCAATCGTAAAACGCACAAGGTTTAATCAACAATTTAATAGAATACACAACGTCACCGGGATAAAGAGTTCTTAAAGATACAATTTAATAGAATACAATATGAAAATTTAATTATGTAGTTTGACAAGTTATATTTTAATATTTTGTGACTAACAAGTTAAATGTTTGTCATATAAAAATTAAATTGTATTTGGATGTAGAAGAGAACATATCCCGATACGCACGGATTGAAATAAGAGTTTATTCGTGGAGTTAAAAAAATTGTTAAGAGGGTTTTCAAACAACCCATTTGTAAATGTGAGGGAGGGATAATGTGTCAGTGCATAAATTGTAAGTGTCGCAAGATAAGTACGACAACTAATGTTAGACTTCACTTATATCGTGATGGATTTCAACAAGACTATTGGATTTGGAATCAACATGAAGAAGTTAATACGTGATCTCACACACAAGCGTGATTGTATTCGACAATCACAAGGGCACGTACGCTTTATTCTCAAATTAACACTAAAACCAACTCATGTTCCATATAATGTCTCAAATTTTCACTAGACAACTACTTGTCAAGGATGCACACCTAGGCATCTAATGCACGAGTATTATCATCTAAGTTATCTATCAACTCCTAGTTGCACCCCTAGGCTATTCTATTGGATTGTGATAAGTTTTCCTCACTTTTCAAAATTATGTTTAATCATGTAATCGTCATTTAATAAATTGACCACCCACAAATCTACATGCATATCATTCATAATACTCAAGGTAAACAAGGTGTAGTAACAATAGTCATGCATGGAAGACAACCAAGAAGTAAGAAAACAAAAGGGGAAAACACTGCTACGTTCGCAGTGCGAAGTCCAAGCGAGCTCCTTCGCTTTGAGTTCGCAGTGCAAACTCTGGGCGAACCTTTGCCTTCAGCTTAGCTCACACTCGCAGTGCGAACATGACAAGACTGTCATGTTCGCTGGCCATTCGCCTACGTTCACAGTGTGAATCCTACATTCCAGAACCTCTTACCAACATGAATAGTTCAAACAAAAAAGGGTTTCAAATCCCACTTCTCATAAGACCCATGTAGGGTAAATCAAACATAACCACAACATTAAAATGACTTCCGTATCATAAATAAAACATGAATCATACAACTTTCATAACAACGGAACAAAATACCATAAACTAACTTTTCTCATTCAATCCAAATACTCTAACCTTGAGTCTCTACCTAGAATCCACCTTTAACACAAGATGAAGAAGTTGTTGATGATGAATATGAGATGATTTGATGAAAAAATGATGAAGTTTCAAGTTTTCTTCTTCTTTCTCTTCTTTCTTCTCCTTCTCTCTAACTCTCTCTTACTAACTTTGTCTCTAAGTTGCCAAATGAAAGGAAAAGTGAAGGAAAATTATATTAGGAAAAATATCATTAAAGTTATTAAGACTAACTTAGTTAAATTTCCAAAATTGAGGGTATCCAACATGTCTCTAATGTATCATTTGATAAAACCTCAGAGTCAGACAATATTAATTAAACCAATTTTGACCTCGTTAGTTACTCTAATCATCTCAACAGATAACTCTTAGAGCACACCGAAACCCAGTTGATCTTAACTAATATATTTAGAGCATTTATCAGATACTGGGTATTACAATTTCAGACCTATTGGCTTGGTTGGATGTATTTACAAGGTGATTGCTAAGATAATGGCAACAAGGTTGAGTAGAGTCATGGGAAAGTTGGTGTCTAAAACATAAACCATGTTCATACTAGGAAGGCAAATGCTTGATGGAGTGCTCCTAGTAAATGAACTACTAGACTTGGCAAATAGGAGACTTGTATGGGATAAACTTCTTTAAAGTCCCTTCTAAGGTGGTGAAAGAGCTAATAGTGATCCAAAGGAACTTCTTATGGTCGAGTTCCCACGATAAATATGGAATTGCTTGCGTATGTTGGGACAAAGTATGCTTTCCAAGAAATTATGGTGGTTTGGGTATTAAAGGTTTATCAATGTTCAATATAGTCTTACTGTCTAAATGGCTATGGCGTATGATAAGTGAACCTAGGGCAATCTGACATGGAATCCTTGAATGTAGATACAGAGACTTAAATTCAAGAATTTTGCTCAAGAAAATACCCAAGGCTTCAACTACTGAATCTTTATGGCGGAAAGATTTAATGAAAATTGGTGATTCTTTGGTGGCTGGTGGATTTTGTAGATCAGTTATTCTGCAAATTTTGGGAGGGTTCACAAATATCATTTTGGAATAATTGTTGGCTTGGACACAAACCGCTGAAATCCTTAGTCAGAGAATCATTTGAGTATTCCTTGGTGAAGTCTGTAGCTGATATGGGCAAGTGGGAGCAGGGAGATTGGAGGTGGAACTTTGACCTCTTGTTGCAGAATATGCCTCTGATAAGACAGACGATTTTCAGGCTTTGAAGCCTTTGTTGTTGGAGGTTAAGCCTTCCTTTGGTACTGTTGACAGGTTTGTTTGAAAATCTGGTAGTAATAGTTACTTTACTGTAAATTCTTGTTACAAAGCTTTGATGCTCCATTATGGTTATTCCGAATTTGTGTTTTAGATGTTTTATGGCAAACGAAGGTTCCATTAAAAACTCGAGTTTTTGGGTGGAGACTTGTATGGGATAAACTTCCAACAAGAACGAATCTGGCAGTCGGGGGAATAATCTCCAATCCACATGATTTAGTGTGTTTTTTTTGTTTTAATACCATGGAGGATATCAATAACCTATTTTGTATGTGTCCATGTATTGACCTTTTTTTGGGATTGAGTGGGAATACCTTGAATTGTTTGGGAGAATGTGTGATCATTTGATGGAGTGGTTCATGAAAGTTGTGAGGAGTACTTCCAAATATACAACTTGTTTTATTTGGATCATGGAGTGTTGGTATATTTGGTGAGCTCGTAATCAAGTTATTTTCAACGACTTGATTGAAAATCAAAAAGATATTTTAATGAGGACAATGCGAATTTTTCATTCTTGGTTGGAGTATAATACTTTGATTTTCTAAATTATGAGTGCTTTGTATATTGTTAGGTGTGGTTGTAGTTTTAGTAGCATACTTATAATTAGATTGGTATAAAAAAAATACTTTATTTTGTTTTTTTTCTTAATTACATGAATGAGATTCATTGAGTGGTTAATTAAATAAAAACATAATAAAACATCTAATTGATAAAAGAGAACTTGAAAGCTTACATTACTTGGAAAAGTAATATTTTCATTACAACTTGAAAGCAAATACACCATACCATTAATATATTTATCCTACCCAACCTTACTGCCCATAATTAGCTTACCCTACCCTTTACCTACCCTAGTTAGCATTACATTTGCTAACATAGAATCTTACATTAAATATTCACAAAATCTCATCAATAACTAGGCAACTAAAACACCTGCCAAACATAATAGAAACTACAAAACAAAAAACTTGTAAGTTCTATGAAATGATGTTCTAGTGATTAAAAAGAATACTTAGAACATCCATTTTTTAACAACCTTCTAATTATTCATGAATAAAACTTGTAAGTTTTGATCGAAACCACAATGGTTCTTATTCCTCCAACTGGTGCAACAATTGCAATCATACACCCAAGAGTTATGCAAATCTGTAACAAAAATATATATATAAGATTATTTGCTATGAATAATTCAATACTAAACTCATGTTTGAATAATAAGTTTACCACTGATGCAGTCCAATGAAAGCTCCCTACTTTTGGTTTCTTGGCTTTAATCCATAAGACACAAGGTATCTGTGTCAAAAAATATTACAAATTTAGTATAAAAAAAACATATTTGAAGATTTTCAAAACATTAAGTATTAATTCTTACAATATATGATGTTGCTGCAAATGCTAGTCCTCCAAAAAACCCTAATAGCCCTCCGAAAAATGGGAAGCTTACAGCAACAAATCCAACCAAAGCTATAGAGAAATGAAAGTTTTATATTAAAGAAAGTATGTATGCAATTGCAAATCATAATCATAAATGTTTGTTGATTTAACGATATTACCGACGTATATGCTCCGAGCAATGATTCGAAGATTCCTCGAGGGACTGAGTTTAAACTTTTGCACCAAACAAGACTCCATCGTATCAAAAACAGGCATTGCGAAAACCTTGTCAAGAAAACAATTATTAGTATCATCAATTGTTAAGAAATGTTGTTGGGCCTAACTCAACCTTAACAAAACTGTCTTGAGTGAGGATTACCCCCACTTATAAACACATGTTCATGCTATATGCTATATATTGTCTGATGTAGGACTCTTAACATCAATATCACATATGTCATGTAAAAGTCGCTCATTGAAGCAAAGGTCACCTGATAACTTCCAATAACATGAAAGAAAACCATCAAGTTAGCGACAGCGATAACCCATGCAGGACGTTCGAGGGAGACGAGCACATCATCTTCAACGAGATCACCAAAAGCCCAAAAACCAGATACGGCGACAGTAAGATAGCAAACAATGACGACGGAGTATGCAACAACAACACCTCTCCACATTGGTACTTTGGAAGGCTTTTCTTCCGTAGACGGTAATGTAGCTTGAATCTCAAGAACCACACTATGTCCTGCAAAGGCAAATGCTATTGTTCCAAGCGCGTTAAAAACATCGAAAGTTATCCCAGCAGTAGTGTGCGATCGAACACCATAGTGAATTGGAGTTGGATGATGCTCAAATCCCTTCGCAAGGGAGGATCCAAATGCCACCATGGAATAACTAGAAAACACAAAAATAGATATAAAATAGTCCTAATATATAATTTCCTAATGAACATGTTTGATGTTTCTTAACATACCAGACAGACATGAATGCGGCCAGCAAAGAGATTCCTTTCAAAGTATTGAAGTTAGGAATTTGCGAAAGGAGTAATTGTAAAAAAACAAAGAACAAAATATAATATGTTTGTCGAATATCTTCGAACCGGGATGGATCTAGTATTTCACAGAACTTCTTCAAAGATTTTCCACCCGTGACAGAATACACAATGGTTGAAGCAACTTGAACAATCAATTGTTGTATCATTATAATCCAATATCCAACTCTTCCTTTGGATCCAAATACATGTTCTCCTAAAGCAAAGTATCGATCGAATCTCCTCCCCGGAACCAATTCATGCATTTGTACTAGTTGCCACAGTGAATAAAATGTCACAAGCCACGACACTATAATCACTGTAATCCCTGGACCCCTATACAAATCACTAGGGTTAGGGCATAAGTGTAGAAGAAAATGAAGTAAAGAAATGAAAATATAAATACCATCCAAGTTGAGATAAAGCAAATGGTAACCCTAGGACTCCAGCACCAACCATAGCAGTGACATTATGGAAAGTTGAGTACCACCATTTAGCTTTCCTAGAAGCACTAATCGGCAACCAGTTTTCAATATTTTCACCATGGTTAACATTCTGACTTTCAACATCATTCTGAACTCGACTCATAATTGCCATAAAAAGATTAATTAACTCAAAGAAGTGTGAATAGTAAGCTTGTCTTTGTGATGGAGGTATATATAGGAAAGGTTCTGTGTGAGTTTTTGTAATAGATCAGTTGAATCAGTCGGTTAGTAAGAGAGATCAGAGTGGAGAGTTCATAGGGATAGGGATATTGATTCAGTACACACTCTGAATAAAATTTATTTGCAATTCTTTATAATGTAATTTTTTACACTTTTGATTCATTTTTGTAATTCTTTATAATGTAATTTTTTACACATCATGAAAAGTGACTGATTAATCACCCTTTATTCTTTGTAATTTTTGCCTTGCTTGCTCCTCGAGTCATGTATTGATCCTCATATTACGCTATTGGTTTGATGTGGATGCTATAAACTCAAAATAGTCAAGATATGAAGGAGTAAATTAACTACTTATATTTACTTATTTTTGTTAAAATTATATATACTTTTAAAATAATTAACTAATGAGTGGATAATTATGTAATTTAAATTTTATTATTATAATTTTTAACTACTTTCTTTCATTTAATAATTCCTCTTTTTTAATTCTTGATTATTATTTCAATTAATTTTTTGTTCTTATAGTTTATGTTAATTTTTCTCTTCTCACCATTAATAATTTCTTTTTCTAAAAAAAATTCTCACTCTATTTTCTATTGAAATTTTCAATTACTTTTTTTTCTTTTAGAAATTACTTTTATGGAAATATTGGAGTATCATGAGGGCTTCTTGTTATTGAATCTAAGATAACTCCATGCTTGCCAAATAGAAGATGTGATATTAGAAATGGTTGCTCTAATGACTACTTTATATTAGATGCCATTTCAAATGTTCTATGAGATATTTGTCTTAGATTGGTTTTAAATATCTCAATCTTCCTAATAAAGATTTAATTGATAATGTGTGTTTTTAGAGGATGTAATTCGAATCAAATACCACAAGAATAATCAAGAGATTTAAATTTATTCAAAGAGATCAATCAAGATTAGAAATCATCATTATTGAAGATTAATCTCATGTGCTTTTTAGAAGTCCAACTATATTCATAATCTTAATTCTTATGGAATTTTGCTGTTGGATTTTTGTGGCTATATAAGAATTTCATCTCCTTTGTGAAAACTCATACCTCAAGAGTAATTATCTACTCAGTAAGAAACATTCATAATTCTCAAGAAAATAAGAAGAATCAAGCTCTGTAGACTCAAATCATTATCTTTGGTATTTGTGGTTATGTAAATCTCAGTGGTTCATACTTTGTAGTATTTCTCTAGTTTGCTTACGCCTTTTTTCAAATTATGCCAAAAAAGGGGAGTAATGGTGTACGCATACATGTATACTTGTGATGTGAGCTCTTGTGGTGGTTGACGTGATCTCTTCTGCCACTAATGATGTTATGATGATCTGATGTTGAATTCTACTGTGTGCTTACATGTTGTAGCATATGGCTAGACATCTTGCCTTTGAGCATGTGTGAGCTGATCTACTGACTGTGTGTGAACTCTGAAGTTATGATGTGTGTTAGTAGTATCTTATGACTTTTAATTGCGACTACTAACTATGTGTGCATGCATAACTAACTAATCACGAATGATTGCATGCCTTGACTATTATGGAGCATTAACTATTGTGTAATAACCATTTCACTTATGAATATGCTATTGATTTATGTTATTGTTGCTTCTCTGATTTTTGTTGTTGCTATTGTTTGCTCTATCTGCTTATGTGTGGTGTGCTTATTGATCAACTCATGTTGCAAATCATGTATGTGTGATTTGTTTGAGAGTTGTTTAAATATCAAATTAATTTAAACGAATATTTAAATTTGAATTAGAATTAATAACAAATCATATCTTTTGTTGGAGACTTTTATAGAACAAATCAAATCCAAAAATATCTGTTATTATTTTGGACGAGATCAAAGCCAATATCCAAAGGAGAAAAAGTCCTAAATTGCATTGCTATTTAAGGAGAATATAACCTCATCATTGAGGGTGTGTGTTGAATTGAAGAACTTTAATGCTAGGGTTTATTTAAGTTCTTGTTTGTGTTGTTACTTGTACATCACACTAGTGCCCTCATTCATATCTAAAGGCATAATGTTGGTTTATTTAGTTGAGTTGTAATTAAACATTCTTTAAAGGTGTTTACTGAAGCTGATCACTTGAGATTAGTGATTGAGAGAAAGTGAAAGAGGTTTTCATATTTAGGGAAATATCTAAATAGAAAGTCACTAGAAATATAAAGAGGCATTGAACAACATGGGGTTGTTGTTCCTATAAGACTAATTGTACTAATTTACGATAATGAATTTTCTTTCTTGGATAGAGTGCCCCCCAAACATAGGTATGGTTTCACCGAACTGGACTAACAATTTCTTGTGTCCTTTAATTGACTTTTTCATTGATCATCTTGTTTATCAATTATTTGTTAATTCAGACGTAAAATGTTGAACATCATTGCTTAAGCATCTGGTCCAACATCTCTCCTCTTAAGAACAAAATCTCAAAATTAATAACAAATATTTATTTGGAGTGATTAAACTCTGCTTAATTAAATAGATGGTATACTCTACTCCCCTTGGGAGTATACTTCTCCCCCTTTGTCAAAATCAAAAGGCGGGTAAATATGTATTGCGATAATTTAAATATGCAAACAAGGCAAATAAGAATTTACAAAAAGAGGAAAACATCACTCATTTTATTAACTGAGATTTATAGGAATTCAAAGTACAAAAGGGAGATTACGGATTTGAAATAGTACAAAAAACAGGAAACAAATTAATAATCTAAGCATTTTAAAACATATAGGTGAGTTATTTAATGTCATAAGCATCACCATTCATTGCCATAATTTTCTTCATATCTTAGGCTACATTCAGACATATCTTTAGAACTTTGTTGATCTTTGTGTCTTCTACTTCTTCTAGATCTTCTTATTCTTCTTCCTTTATTGTTAAGTCCTCCTATATTTCTCCATGTTTGATGAGTAATTTTATTTCTCTAAGAGAAGTGTAGGTGGTCCTATTGTTGGTTGAGTCTTAAGTTTCATCCATGGCATCAATGTTGAAGTTTGATGATCAATTTTCCATAAGAGAGTGTTGCGCTTAGAATAGGATATCAAATTATTGATTAATTTGAATCACACTCTTGATTCACAACAGTCTTTGATTTATCCGAAGAAAAGGTTAAAGAAAGGAAAAACCTAGTTGCATCGTAAACACAATGCGGGAAAAGATCTAGGATTCGGCGGTTGATTAAGCTTAGGGAAGGTATTAGCATCCTAAACTTTTGTAGTACTCTACAGGAACCTCTTGTTTTAAGTGTGTTATTGCTATGTTATCTGCTTAAGGGTAATGCTAAGGGTTAAAGGTAAAAGAAAGACCTAAGGGTTAGTTCTAAGTTTACTCGTCAAGATTCGCATCTTGTGCCTACGCATCCGAGGTAGGGGATGGAATCAGAGTAATCATAGTTCCCCTCACAGAGGGAGATGAGGAACTTCTTGACTGTGGTCAAGGTTCCAAGGGGAGGTAAACGTTCATAGGGAAACACTTACTTTGGAGTACGGCGACTTCGATTTCTACGTTGTAAAGTTGAATTAAAAAGGTGTAAGTAGGTATTGCACGGCGGAAACCTACATGGAGTGCGGCGACTCCTGATCATAAGGCTAGGATAAAATGTTGAATTGAATTAGAACACTAGCTCAACAACTTTGTATATTTTTAAAATTGAAATAACCTTGCATATATATTTTTTAAGAAAATAGACTAATCATGAAATTTTAAAATGTCATTTTTTGTTTTCTTTTTATTATTTTTAATACAAAAATCCTAATTTAAAAGCCCAAATTAAAGTTTTTGCTAAATTTAAATAAAACTGTTTTTATTATTTTTTTATAATTAAAATGCTTTTAAATTAATTATGAAATAGAATTAAATCACCATTATCTTAAGCTTTCACACACACACGCACACGCACACGCACACGCACACACACACACACACACACACACACACACACACACACACACACACACACACACACACACACACACACACACACACACACACACACACACACACACACACACACACACACACACACACACACACACACACACACACACACACACACACACACACACACACACACACACACACACACACACACACACACACACACACACACACACACACACACACACACACACACACACACACACACACACACACACACACACACACACACACACACACACACACACACACACACACACACACACACACACACACACACACACACACACACACACACACACACACACACACACACACACACACACACACACACACACACACACACACACACACACACACACACACACACACACACACACACACACACACACACACACACACACACACACACACACATATATATATATATATATATATAGTAAACCTAAATTAAATTAAAACTAAAGGTTATTATTTATTTAAATGAAAATTAGACTTAATTTTGATAAATATTTATTTTTTATGGTTTTTAATTATTAAGAAGAAATTACCTAACAAACATAAATAATTAGTCTTAATCTAAAAGATAAATTTGTTATTGGGTTAAAGTTAAAAAAAAGTTAAACATAATTTGATTTTTGTTTTTTGTTTTATAAGAAGGACTAGATTAATATAAAATTAATTATTGTTATTCTCTTTTTTATTTATTTATGAAATTCCTAATTGATAAAAATCGTTTTCTAAAGTTAATTAATTTTTAAATCTTAAATAGTTAGTTAGTGATAGTTAGTATGTTAGTGTTTTATTAATGAATATTACAAATGAATACAAAATTAAAAAAACTAAAGAAAAAGCAAATAAAAAAGCATAACAGAAAATGGGTTGGGGCTGGGTTATCAACTCCTAGAACCCGACTGTTGCACCCTAAAATTTGACCAACCGGGTCCCCTATCTGGCTCGATGTTTCGACGCATTTCGCA